TATGTATATTTGTAAAGTACTAACTGCATAGGCCATGTTGTATGTTACCATATTCAAATGTATATCTAACTATCTGTTATGTTCTGTGTGTGTAGCATACGGAGACTACAAACTTTCCTGCCCTATGGAATAAAGTTCTTTTGTTTTGTCTCCATGTGATGAGTCCAGGTTTTGTCAACAGTGCCAGTTCAGATCAATGTAAATGGGGGAAGAACAGGGCTGTGTTAAATATATAATGTTGCTTCTTAAACTGCAAAACTTGGAAATTAGAGTGTCATGGCTCAGAAGGTAAATATTTATATCTTACAAATAGTTTTTAAAAGACTTGTTTTCAGGATGAAAAAAAATTACGTCATATAAACATGTGCAGGTCAGGCTTTGTGAGGTGACGTCGCTGTCTCTATCTGTAATTACCTGGTGTAGGAAGCTTCTATACATAATTGAAGAACACTGATTTTAACATTTAATTATTGTAAAATTGGAAGTATAATAAAATGTTATGCCCATTTCCACTTTTATTTCGCTGCCTCTACAAATTAGCAAATTCTTCCAAAGACAGCAGAACAAATGACAAACTACATAATCATAACTAAAAGCCAAATTAGCCCTAATATCTTTCTAATTTCAGCGGCACCCACCACTAGAAGCAAATAAGGTATAGCCATAGACTGGGTATAGCACAACACTTGATCATAGAAACTGTGCAAGTCCATAGGCTGTATGATCATGTATACTAGTTAAGAAAGAAAGGAAGAAAGGAAATTCAGGTGCAACAGCAGCAATTATATATGACGAAAATAAAAGTCAAGCAGCTTCTCCCGTCAGACTGCACCTCTGTGCTATTTAATGCATAATATAATGAGCAAAATAAAACACGGTAATTATAGATCACATAGAAACTTTGCAAGATAAAATACAAGCCTTTCAATGAAGAGTAAATTATGTCTAAGTGAGAAAAAAAGTCCTGAGTGGATCCAGAAGTTACTGAATCAGCTTTCCAACTTGTGGTGTGACCCAGTGGACTGGGACTCTGCTGCAGATGGCTGATCCAAAGCTGTGACACCAAGTGTTCCTTCATGTCTAGGTGAAACATCTTTGTCTGCAGGGGGAGGACAAGTTAGTGGGGAAAAAAACAAACAAAAATAAACAGTGGAGCTTGCGTTAACCTCAAACACCTCTAGTGTAGACTTTAAGCCCTAATAGGGCAAGTGAGCGGGAGCCAGGAGTCTGAGCATGGGGCAATAACAAACACAGGGACAGACGGGAACACTCGAAACATAGTGAAGTGAAAGAACAAAAGGAGACACTATAGGAAAACACTGATGACAATCGCATTAGTCACCATTCACTCCCTGGTCAAATGACATCTGCAGTGATGCAGGTAGTGTCCTCTGTTACTGATTAGCAGATGTCTATCAGGGCTCAACATTACATCCATACGTGTGTAGTAGTAATAATACCATATTAGGTCTGCCGGCAGAATATTTAAAGAGGTGGTATTATGCTCATTTTCAGGTTCAAAATCTTATTTAGGGGGTTGTACCACAACAGGTTTACACTATATTTTTGGGGTGGTGCGGTGATGCAGTGGTTAGCACTGTCACCTCACAGCAAGAAGGTTGTGGGTTCAAAGCCCGGCCTTTCTGTGTGGAGTTTGCATGTTCTCCCCTGCGTGGGTTCTCTCCGGGTGCTCCGGCTTCCTCCCACCATCCAAAGACATGCAGGCTAGGTTAATTGGTGTCTCCAAAATTGTCCTTAGGTGTGGATGTGAGTGATTGTCTATGTGTGGCCGTGCGATGGACTGGCGACCTGTCCAGGGCGTACCCCGCCTTTTGCCCGATGTCAGCTGGCATTGGCTGACGACAGATGGGACACCATATTTTTTGTCATACATTGCTGCAGCTCTTTTCACCCTGAAGGCTTAGTTTTAGCTATGGAGTGATACATTTTGTCTCTAAATGATCTTTGAGACACCAATTAGCCAGTAGCCGCTTGGCGAGCATTATATGAGGCGCATTTAGCTTTCATCCCTGTGATGTCACAGGGATGAAAGGGAAGCAGCTGGACTACAAACGAGCTTTCAAGCAGTCCAGAGCAGAGCTTTCTGTGGGAGATGGGAAATCCCTTTGTGGTGGACTTTGGGCTTTTTCACTTTGCAAACCTATTACATGCACAAAAAAGATATAACTCAATAAAGGAGAGGGAGAAAGCCAAAAAGCATAATACCACGTAAGCGTAAATTTACCGTATTTTCAGCTCTTCTAAAAATAAAAAATACATTGAAAACCAACTGGTTGTATTTGAAATGTTTGCTACATTTTCCCCTCTGACAAAGCACGAAGCAGTAGAACATTAGCCATTAGCTGTAACAGTGACGGGAAGTCAACAGCATCCACCACTACAAGAGGAAGAAGAGCGGAGAGAGGGGTCCAGGATGGATGATGCATTCCTGTATGAGTATCTGATAAGTATTTCACTTACATTTGCCCCAGGGGTGGAAATGAACTTTTTGGCTCACCTGCCAAGGTGGCTGGTAGATTTTTACCAGCCACAACAATAAATTGCCTTTTGTGTCACATATGTTTCCGTCCTTTTAATTGAGATAATAAAGGTATTATGTTAAATACAAACTTAAGAGGCCAGAGTGAAATTTGAAACATTATTGCTATTAAATGTACTATTATGTAAATAATGTTATCAATTTACATAAGCTTATTAATTATTCAACTTAAATCTCATCACTGCTCACTCTTGTCATGCTTTATCATTCAACTTAATCTCTGGGGAGGACAACAGGACCATTAGAAAATCTGACAGTGTGTCAGACACTGACTGAACTACCTGCAGCAGCAACACAACAGTTGGGTTATTCCGTAAAGATACAGTTGTAATAAGATTTCAAACTATCAGCAAGAACACAACAAGGAGTTAAGTTAAACAGACACAAGCAGCCACAGCAGGACATTTAACCAATATTTTAAAAAGTACAAAAACAATGCTAAAGGGTACCCAGGGCATTAAAAAGCAACACCAAAAGGTATTGACCAAACGTCCAAATGTGAAGAGTTGGGAATGAGAATGGGTTGAACGAGCCCATTCCGAACTTAAAAACTTGCTTGGCCAAGTGACACCAAATTTCTGCTTACGTATGGTTAACGTTGCCACTTCCAATAAAGAGCAGTGCACAGCTGCTTCCCAGAGACTTCCGAGTCCCAAACGGGGCTAAGTAGCACACAACATGTGGCATACCAGTTATTATTTCAACCAAAGACTGTTTGTGCTGAAAAACAATAATAAGACCTATAGTATGTGAAACAAAACAACATAATGCCACTGACAATTTCTCTAAGTTATGAATTTTAGAATTGTTCCATATGAATTAAGAAAATTCATCTTGAAACTAACACATTTTGTTGTGTGTGATTGATCTCCTAACACATACATCTCTATAATCATTACAACTCACCACAGCTCGGTGTTTTATCAGGTAACACAAGTCAGGACTAATAAAGTGACAAAAGCAATATTATTAACAGGAACCCATGTGAAGTTTGAAAAGCAGCAGCTGAATTTGACTGCTCACCCTGCCGTGTGTGTGTGTGTGTGTGTGTGTGTGTGTGTGTGTGTGTGTGTGTGTGTGTGTGTGTGTGTGTGTGTGTGTGTGTGTGTGTGTGTGTGTGTGTGTGTGTGTGTGTGTGTGTGTGTGTGTGTGTGTGTGTGTGTGAAGGGAAAGAGGACAGGCAACATTTATTGACAACAGCTGCTCCACTCGATAAGAAGAGGCATAAAATCAATCAAACTGATTGGTAGACAAGAGAGAGGGAGGGAGGAGGAGGAGGAGACTACGGAGGGCTGGAGAGGAAGTCATAAAGCACAAAAAGAGGGCTAAATATAAATAATTGGAAACACTCTGATCTTCTACTTAGGTAAAAGTACCACAATGTAAAAATATTCTAATACAAGTAAAAACAACTCACATATCTGAAAAGTGACAAGATGCCCCAACTAGGAAGATTTTTCTGTAAGAGGAGACCGTGTTTCTCTGTCATAGTTTACACACACACACACACACACACACACACACACACACACACACACACTTAAAAATATAATTCAGTGGCTGAAACACTAATTGTGATTTAGAAAAAGGGAATGACTTTGTAGCTAGCAGCACTGCTTGGAAGAACAGCAGAGAAATGTCAGCTTCCTGCCACTGGCACTTGGACTCCGTTCAGTTTGAGAAGGGGGGATACACATTAATCAGATTAGTTTGTTTCTGCACTTGTAAGTGGAGACAGTCAGCAGTGTGATGCAGTCTGTGTCCCATAATTAGCCTCCGCCAACATGAAACAGGCGATCACCTCACTTCTGTTCTAGTCCATTTAAACGACTGGGGGGCAGCTAAATTAACTATAAAACTAAGCGCTCAATTTGGCGAAAGAACTTTCAAACAATGGATTATGTTTACATCAAAACTAATGCACATATGATTTATGCATTTCCTCAGCAGATAAAAATCTTAAATACTACAAATCGTGTACTCTGATGCAGGGACAGATCAGTAACAAATACTGGAAAACCATTCACAGAACTTTCAAATTCACATTAAAAAGTATTAAATACATAAATGCATAGTTCTCACAGTTATAGCCAACTGCACAAGGCCTACAGTGTTGTTGTAGCTCACTACACATTACCTTCTGCACAGGCTCAGTCACAAGTTAAATACAGTCAACAGGTGAGTAAGTTAAACCGCCAATAAAAGCAAAACAAGACCCATTTCAAATTAGTCAAAGCCTCGGCAACTCATTAGACTGCAGCAACAACACAACAGCTTTAGTTAAAACCAAACATACAGAGCATGACAGGACTTCAAACGATCAGCAATCACACAGCAAACAGTTAAGTTAAACACACACAAGCAGCCACGGCGGGACATTTAATGTTAACCATCACGAAAGAAACCAGCAAGCAGTCAGACAAACAGATAATCTCCTTACCTTGATAAAGATGAAGTATCCATTGCTGCTTTAACATTAATTTTGTTTGTTTGTGGACAGAAGTCTTCCTCTCCTCGTTTGCTGACACCATTAGCATCACTGTAAAGCTAGCTAACTAACGTTGGTAAACTACCGGTTGTTTCATTTAAATTATGTTAACTTTCTTTTGTTTGTCCTGTTATCAGTATGCGACAGGCTTCACTTCACAATGACGAGTCCGTTTACAGTTTGGCAGTGTCATTACAGTGGCAGCTTTACTGTTTGATAGTTAATTATTTTTTAATCAAAGGATGCCAAATTTCACCTGGCATCCTTTCCTTCGGTAGACTTCAGTAAGGGTGCAATGCCATTTTTGACCACACAGGCTTGCTGACATTAGCCAGTCGATAGAACCCAGAGGGGAGCTGTTTCACTCCTTTGAGGGCGCTCAAAAAGTGAAAAATGGGGAAGACATGAAAATGAAATAAGTTCCTGCTATGTTACAACGATAATGAGTAAATATTTTTATAACAATTATACGTTGAATAGTGAAGGAGTCATGTCTGGCCTTAGCTGAGGGGAAAACCAGCATGAGTGTCACACTCCTTCTTGCATTGGCTGTGAATGTCTGGACATAAATCAGGTACCATTATCTTCCAGCAAGAACATTATTATTAAGAGACAAGGCTGGTTTTCAGCACCCATGTGAAAACAACCTTGTGTTTCACTTAATACTTTGCTCCTTGAAGTTAAATATCTTTTTTCTATATAGGCTACCCTAAAATCACAGATTTGTCAAAGGCTTTTACAATCTGAACAACAGATGACACTATATAAGGAGAAACCACTCCACAAAAATGAAAATGATCGTTATGAAAAACATAAGGTATGATATTCACACTTTTGGAATATTAACAAAATAAATGCTCATATCAGTTCAGAAAATTGACCAGCTGCTTCCAAACATACTGTCATATTTAAACATACTTTATTAACAAAAAGCAACATTAACAAAGTTGTGCTAGCATAATAGCCACAGACATTACCCTAAACATTAGCAACACATATAACAATAGCCATACAGTATTTAAATATGCTATTGCCTTATTTTTACATACTTTATTTGTATGCATTTACAAATATTTGTATACATTGTGTAGTAAACCCATTTTAGATTTATTTTTTTAGAGTATCAACGCTGCTAATTCTCAGAACGTATAGCTTATGAAATCATGTGGAGCTCCCAGGGAATTGAAGAATTCAGCAGTGGCCTTGAGTGAAGAGAAAGATGTGTATGCATACAGTATATTGTTATTGTGTACTCCAGATGACGCCTACAGACCCTTAAGCTTTCAGCTAACTAGAAGTCTTAAAGGCTCAGATTGTCTTGCATTGTATTTGATTCTATTGTGTGTCAGGACATTGACGAGAGTGACAAAGGAGTGACAAGACCAGAGGACAGATATATAGATAGATAGATAGATAGATAGATAAAGTTTCTGCACAATTTCCCTCGTTTAGAGAACATGTAGACTGGAGGTGCTAGAAAATATAATAGAAGAAGCGACGAGAGAAAGAAGGAGCTACTCAACAGAAAATATTTCAATTGTTGAAATCTTCCTTAAAAATCTTAATGCTCATTAAACACTAATCAATTCATAAGCTTCCCTGTTGTGAGTATGTGTGTGTGTGTGTGTGCGCGCATCCATCCTCAAAACATCTCCCTTTAAAAGTCAGGCCGTAATAATGAGAAAGCCCTTTGAACGGACAAAAGAGGAGCCCCCCCCCCCAAAAAACAATGTGTACTGAGTCCTGAACAATTGGTGGCAAATAACAGCAATTTCACAGCTAATTCGTAGATTTCACGTGTGGATGCCTCCATCACCTCCCTCCATTTAATGCTGTGAATAGAGACACGCGCTGACATTACAACCGTGAGATGAGATTCAGTGTGTGTGTGTGTGCACGTACACATGCAGGTATTAGGTCTAATGACTTAAGCCTAGTTTGAGTGTCAGACCTACTGCTGGGCACAGAAACGTACAGAAACGTACAGAAACACAAACACACTCTGTTGTCACTACAGGTGTCAACATGACTGTAGTTGAGAGCTGATTATTAATTGGTGATCAAATGAAATCCATACAAATCAATTCCCTTGGATTGTTCAGATTGCCAGCGTGTCCAGAGTACATAATTATGATACACAGCTCATGTGAAATAATAGTATATTCCCACAAAACAACATTTTTTAACCTTTTATAAAATTTATAAAAACACTTTGTTTGCTGGTGGTTTTCATTCTGCTGACGTCCTCTGATGATGTGTGGAAGGGACCGGTGACTCTAAAGCAAGGGGAGTGGCTACATTACATTTTGTAATGAAAAGTCTTGAACTTTAATAAGAGCAGTAAAATGAGCTTGTGAAGTGAAATGTTGTGGGCAAAACTTGGGGAACACCAGATGGTCAGTATCGCTCTGGACTAGCTACAGAATAAAGGAACAAGAGGGGAGGGCCCAGGACTGAGCCCTGTGCAACCTCTATCACCTGGCAGCGTGGTTCAAACACAGTTCTTTAAAATTTCACCTGGACAGAGCGAGCAGAGTTAGATGAGATATGGAAACACCTCACATCTGACAGGGTGGTATCAATCTTCTCATCTAACTCTTGTTAAGAAAGGGTATTCCCATAACGCCAAACCTTTCCTTTAACCCTCATCTCCCACTAGAAGAGGATTTTGCGCATAGCACTTTACAGGATTACAATGAAATTCTCATATTTTTAACAGTCACCTGTTGCTTATTGCAGCTGATATCTACCCAGTGCCTTTGATTCTGAGTTACATGCAGACATTTCACTGCCAGTCCCATTTCTGTCTCTTCATTATGTGTACTCCATATGTTGAGTATTTTCATATGATCGGGGGTGGGAATTCACCTTAACCTAACATTGTTTGTTACAGCCCTCACAAACACACGCAAACACCTACCTATTGTGCTTCCAGCCATCGAAGATCAAGCAGTTCAAGATGAAGGAAGCGGCCTAAACTGGTGGTGAAAAGGTTGTAAAGGTCTTGGTTACACCTGAAATTACACCTCCCACCTCTCTATATATTTTAGAATCTATACTAAGTAATACACCATAAAAATTAAATTATAAGGTAGACATACTGCATATTTATAGTTGAAGTTTTTAGAGTTTATGAAATAGGTGGCAAGACATTAAGACTTTTGGTCGTTCTGCTCTCGGTTTGCTGAAAAAAGCTGAAGCTACTGAAAAAAGCCATCTGAAGGAAGGTAGAGAGGTCCACAATAAACATGCACAGCCACTTTTCACCATCTACTTTTCATATGTTTCCCTTCTTCCCCAGATTTCACCTCTGACAGTCTTGGCCTAGATATTTCTTCATCCTTGTCAGACACACTAGCAGGTCTCATCGGCTGCCAGCTGTGGAGGAGAGGACGTGGAGATCAACGCAGATGAGAAGTGAAAAGGATGAAGAGCATCCAATCGATCCAAAACCTCCATCCTAATCTTGTTGACGTCCTCAGATGCTGCAGACGGCAGCCCTGAAGCAACTTTGGGGAACACATTAAATTTAAAATTTGTCTCTTTTTTTTTTTTTTTAACCATTTCATGGTAAAAAATTTTCATTTTTAACACAGTTAAATGGTATCTTAGTTTGAGACAACACAGAATAAACAAGCACAGGTTGGTTAGATGAACACACTCATGAAATCTGTTTGATTGTATCTGATCAGCTTCAGATATTAAGAAACTCCTCAGGTGCATTTAATTTGTCAACTCAGATTTTTAACAGGCCTCAAAGAGGTCTGACACAACAGAAACACTCTACTGCAGCCCTGTGGCTGATAAAAGAAATGCAGCTACAAATAATCAAGGCCGGAGGAAAAAAAAAAATCACATTATTTCAGGTTTTATAGTTCGACTTCTGGCTTTTATTTTCGAGCAAATGTACAGTTGTTTGCCATTGATAGCTACAGAAAGGTTGGCAAAAATCCACAGTAAATCTTGATATGACTGTTAAAAACTGCATATAAAAAGACCTTAAAACTGTACATCAATTAACATAACTACATTTATATGATGTGTGTGTATACATAGGTACTGTTGGTTATGAGAAAAACAGATACACACATTGTAAAAGATCCAGATAACATTCTGTTCAAAGGCTGTCAGTTTTTTCTGGTCTTGCAAGATCAGGACACGACAAGAGTGTTTGGTACAGTAAGACCTTGAATCCACCCTTAATGGCGTTAAAGGTTTCTACAGCAGAGTGTCAATCATCAGACGAGACGGTTCAGTGCAGGGGTGTATCTAGGCTAACACCACAGAAATTTTTTTAAATCTTAAAAGCTATGCATACATACATGTCCAGTGTTGTTTTGTCACAACTCAAGTTTGTTTGTTTCGAATACTCTTCTACATAAATAAGACACTCTCCAAAATACTGTCTCCAGAAAGTAACAAAAAACTCCTCTAACATACATGCAAAAAGCACTACAGTAACTGTGGGGACTTATTTAATATTTTAGTCATTAAAAAATGTGGATTCCACAGTTATGTAACGCCTCTCCAACAGACAGAGAAAGAGGACCTGACCGTCTCTTGGACAGATTACTTCACACAGAGAAGGGGGTTATGGCATTAATTCGGATATTCTGATAATTCTCCAAAAGAAAGAGACTCCAAGATAACTTTAAGTGCCAAATTCAATCATAAAGAACAAAAACTTGTGTGTTCGTGTTCCTCTTTATGAGAACTTCTTAGTTTTTGCAATCTGACTGACTTCACTCAATTCAGAAATTATTAGAACCTATTCTGTTATATCGCACAATAAAAGGATTTTATGACTCTGGAGTAGTTTGTGGATAGAATATATATATATATGACATGTAAGAGTAAGACAATTATAATACTACCACAAGGGCTAGTGCTTGGAGGCCACATTTGTTGCAATGGGTAATTTACATGCAAGGCAATATTTATCGGTAGTTTGATTTTTTGATTTTCATCAGATTAATCACTGTTTTAATTCCATCTCTGAGCAAATTAGCTTTGGTCATACTGTGTGAATTCATGTATACTGGCTTATTAAAAAGTTTGGATTTTACCACAAAATCCGACAGTATAAGAACAAGTTTGCTTTGCTGTTCTTTCTATCTATCTAAAAATAAAAATAGAAAACCAGAATTGTGAGAGCAAGTCAGAGATGGTAAAATAAAAGGAAACATAAACAGAACATAAAAAAAGAAAAGAAAGTCCCACCTCATAACATTGATCGACTGCAGATGATCGATCAAACAGAGCTGGAGCTCTTCAAGTTTTCCATCTCATTAAAAAAAAGATTAAAGACAACATCACATCAGACTGATAGCTTCCCAGTGAGACCGTCACTCACTCTAATGTGGTAAAGGGGACTTTTACACTTTATACATATAAGAAAATGGTAAAAATAATATTTCAGAGACAGATGCCGTCCAGGACATGTATAAAACATTTAGAATAAAAACATTTAGTGTAAAAACAGATATTAAACATAAGTCATTGAATGTTTTGGTGCAACTTGTTCATCAGTGGTAATATTTCAGTGCTGTGTTTGTTTCCAAATAAGTCTTCTTGGACAGTATAACCTGCGTAAAACTAATTTTTACATTCACCTTTTCACTCACTTATCCACACTCTCAGTCATGCATCCATACATCCATCATCTGAAGTGCTTTTGTACAATCCAAATGTCTAATATTATTAGTAGTAAATTTACCATAAAGCAAGCAAAGACAGCTCAGCAGAGACAGAAAAACTACCACAAGGCACCTAATGTAAAGCAGCTAAATGCATCTCTAGCAGCAACAAGGCTTTGGTTCATAGACGTACTATTAAAAGTAGAGAACAAAATATAATTTCTACTCTGTCTTACAGTGATGGATGGATGGATAAATGGATGGATGAATGGGGAATGGCTGAGAAGATGCAGAAGGGGACAGACGAGAGGATGATGATGAATATGATGATGATCAGACGATTGGAGGTGGCTCTCACAGAGGTGGGAAACTTCTACGTCAGTATCACTTCCCCAGAGGGAGAATGAGAGAAAGACAGAAACAGAGAGACAGCTAGAAAGAAAGACAGAGCAGGTAAGTGTTGAAACAGAAAAGTGTGAGACAGAATTCAAAGACTTCACTGCAAAGGCCGGTCTCAAGGTAAAGAATCTCATTAGGCTCGTGTAACAACACCATAAGGCTTTTAAGAGCATTACCTGCATTACTGAGCTATTAGACCTGCAAACTAAAATACCTTCCTTGCTGTTAGGGGGAAAAACATGTCTGATACCCCAATTTTGGCAATATGCTTATTTGCATTTAACTCTCGGCAAGAAAACAAATAAGCACCTTTAGCACACATGTAGGCCTAAACTGAGAATATAAGGTTAAGTGATACAGGTAAGTAATTTTAATTAAACGCTTCTAATAGTTTCCAAATACAGTGACGTTTTCTGTGGCTGTACACCCACTTGTGTACCTGCATGATGTTGCCTTTAAAGATTCACTGTTTTCCAATAAGTTAAAGTCCCTTTCATGGAATCTTTCAACTTTTTATCAAGTGTCATTTTTCTATTTATTATGCATAATATGTCATATGCTATATGTGTCATTTAATATTTTTTGTTTCTGCATGTCCACATCCGTTGTTGGACTAAATTTGTGTGTTTTGTTTTAGTTTTCTTGGCTGTTTATGATGAAAATAAAACCAAAACCATCACCGTATGAATAATTTTCATGGTTATGGTCTTGATTTCCCGGTAAGACTTGGATTGACATGTGTCGGTGTTCTCATCAATAAATGGCTATATTTCAAATGATAAATTCTCATAATAACTGTGTATTTATTTTAGACATAAACTGGGGCACTTTATATGATCCTTATGATCCATTATGATTATCTCAATGAGGACACGTTTGTACATTTTTAAGGTGCGTTGAGGAAAGTGAACGCAATTAAGCTTTAACAGCATGCAATTAAAAATCAAAGTTTTAGGAATTTAGGAAACAAGGGGGAAGTGCATTTTCCTACAATCATATTTTACAATTCCCCAAGCGACATCATTAAATTTCATATTCTTTCTGCTGTTCTATAGAACCATGAGTGTGTACACTGACTTTCTGTTTCTTTGGTAAATGGTCTCGGTGGAAGATAATGTAGTAGTTACAAGGTCACATTAAGGCATTAAGAAACAGCCAGGAAGCCGTCACATAGCCCCTTCTACTGGATTACAATAAGCCATAGAAAACTTCTCTGTGTATAACATTATCAATATATATAAGATGAAGCTCTACAGAAAAGTGCTTTAAAGACAGAAAAAGACAGAGAAAATGACAGAAGAAGATCCTGCAGAGATTAATACAACACACACACACTAATAACTACTGCTTATCAGCACACACTCTAGACCAATGGTTCTCAAAGTGAGGTCTGGGGACCCCCAGGGGTCGTTAAAGGGGTTCCAGGTAGCCTCAGCAAATAGGGGAATTGTTTATTTTTACTATAATTCCATCAATGACTAACACAAGGACGGAAAGCATGACTATTTTGGTCATGAGGTTTATATACTTTCTGTACTAAAACATCATGGGAACGCTGTGACAAAAGCTTACCAAATGGCAGTAGTGGTCTCATTGGTGTTAGTTTAGGGGTCCTTGATGTGAAAACATTTGAGAACCACTGCTCTAGACTACCTAATGTGAGTCTGAAAGCTTACGTGTTGGATGTGAGGTTAAAGTCAGCCTTTTTTTTTTTCTTCTTTAGGACTTACATAATATACAATCACTAATAATAAAAAAAAGACCACCTCAGATCTACTTATCCAACACTTAGGCTTTTCTGCTCAACTACACCCCTCCTTACAGTGTTGTAGGAGCTGGCCCCAGAGTCCTAGGGAGTATTTCGAGATAACATGTTTGCACACAGGCAACACCAGTTAGTCCTGAAAAGAGGCAGAACAGGACAGACAGAGGGAGAGACGGTAGGAATGAAGAAAAGACAATGCTTGGTCAGAGAAAGCTCGAGCTGGCTTAAGCGCTGTTACTGTCTTCATCATCAGCAGCATCACAACACTTCATGATTATCGCCATAATCGTTTTTAAAAAAACCTCATATAAATCCTAATAATTGGGGTAAAGTACACTTCAGCTGCTTATTAAAGGCAGGCAGACGTAAAGGGCCAGTGCACATATTTTCAGTGTGACACAATACGGTTTAAGAAATCAAAGCTCTTGATTCGACATCAATACACCGAGCCCTTTTTTCGCGTTGTGGCAGCGAGCAGGGCCATGTGGAGGAGTCCTTTTCCAGAGCCGTCCCATAGTGCTTTGTGCCATACTTGGCTGCTGACTTGGGAACAGTTGAGAAGGTCACTTTCATTGTAATCCTTTACAGATGGATTACAGATACTTGCTATTTACAACATTGTCCGTTATTTGACTCCCGGCATTGTAGATAGATAAATTAGTTTCAGTTACTTTACTTTCCAGTGCCGCTAGCAGTGACCTGCTCAGCTTCTGGTACCAATTCATTAGAATTACTCCTTTGCTCAGTTAAACTCCAAATGGATGCCACTGTATCTGATATCAGAATATAAGAAAAAACACCAGACGGAAATAAATTAAACTGAGGTCTCTGGCCCCGCCCCGCAGTAGGCATGTCCCTGTTTCGAGCGGGGGGAGCCATCGGTGAATCGGAGAAGAGGGGTGAAGGTGCAGTAGTCTGGCCTTCTTTGCCAGCGTGTGAACATGATTTTCTTGTTATAGGGCTCAGACCTTCGAAGGGTCGGGGCGTTCCTTTGGTTGTCCGAGCCTTGTCGGTGGCTGCCAGCCTTGGACGGGGCGTGGAGAGACGCCAGGGGGGTGAACTCTGAGAGCTGGCCCTTGTAGAGTTTATCAGCATTCTGTATGAGTGTAAAGAGAGAGGAAAAGGAGAAAGAGTGGAAGCCATATTAAGAAAAAAAAAGAGGAGGAGAGGGAGAAAGAAGGAAATAGAAAAGAAAACATGTTACATTTGGAGAAGTGTAGAGGGCTCCCAGACGGCAGGTGGAGGAGACATTGTTATCCCAGTGGCCACAATTCAAACCATGGATAAATAAATGTGTGTATTTTGAAGTAGAGCAGATACTGTCTGTTTGTTGATCTACTCACACTTCATCATCAGTCCTTGCTATATAACGTTTTATTTCTGGCTGCTTTCCAAGCTAACTAAGCCAAAACCACTTTCCTGATCAGTAACCTGAACCTGGAGACAATTCTCGCTTAACAGACAATTCAGATATTTATTCAATATATTTTAATTGATAAAGTATTTACACTTGCATTTAATCTAATTGGCCAGCTGTGATCATAATGCCCTCTCCACTTTGTTCAGACACAAGTGATGCAACCCAAGCAAATTAAGCTTTTTGATGATATTATAATTATATGACCAGCACCTTTGCTGGTCATATAATTAGAATATCATTAAAAACTTGATTTATTTCAGTAATTCCATTCAAAAAGTGAAACTTGGATATTATATTCATTCATTCCTTCCACAAAGACTGATATATTTCAAATGTTTATTTCATTTAATTGTGATGATTAAAACTGACAACTAATGAAAATCCCAAATTCAGTATCTCCGAAAATTAGAATATTACTTAAGACCAATACAAAAAAAGGATTTTTAGAAATGTTTGCCAACTGAAAAGTATGAACATGAAAAGTATGAGCATGTACAGCACTCAATACTTAGTTGGGGCTCCTTTTGCCTGAATTACTGCAGCAATGCGGCGTGCCATGGAGTCGATCAGTCTGTGGCACTGCTCAGGTGTTATGAGAGCCCAGGTTGCTCTGATAGTGGCCTTCAGCTCTTCTGCATTGTTGGGTCTGGCGTATCGCATCTTCCTCTTCACAATACCCCATAGATTTTCTATAGGGTTAAGGTCAGGCGAGTTTGCTGGCCAATTAAGAACAGGTATACCATGGTCCTTAAACCAGCTTTGGCACTGTGTGCAGGTGCCAAGTCCTGTTGGAAAATGAAATCTGCATCTCCATGAAGTTGGTCAGCAGCAGGAAGCATGAAGTGCTCTAAAACTTCCTGGTAGACCGCTGTGTTGACCTGGACCTCAGAAAACACAGTGGACCAACACCAGCAGATGACATGGCACCCCAAACCATCACTGACTGTGGAAACTTTACACTGGACTTCAAGCAACGTGGATTCTGTGCCTCTCCTCTCTTCCTCCAGTCTCTGGGACCTTGATTTCCAAAGGAAATGCAAAATTTACTTTCATCAGAGAACATAACTTTGGACCACTCAGCAGCAGTCCAGTCCTTTTTGTCTTTAGCCCAGGTGAGACGCTTCTGACGCTGTCTTGTTCAAGAGTGGCTTGACACAAGGAATGCAACAGATGAAACCCATGTCTTGCATACGTCTGTGCGTGGTGGTTCTTGAAGCACTGACTCCAGCTGCAGTCCACTCTTTGTGAATCTCCCCCACATTTTTGAATGGGTTTTGTTTCACAATCCTCTCCAGGGTGCGGTTATCCCTATTGCTTGTACACTTTTTTCTACCACATCTTTTCCTTACCTTCGCCTCTCTATTAATGTGTTTGGACACAGAGCTCTGTGAACACCCTGCCTCTTTAACAATGACCTTTTATGTCTTGCCCTCCTTGTGCAAGGTGTCAATGGTCGTCTTTTGGACAGCTGTCAAGTCAGCAGTCTTCCCCATGATTGTGTAGCCTACAGAACTAGACTGAGAGACCATTTAAAGGCCTTTGCAGGTGTTTTGAGTTAATTAGCTGATTCTAGTGTGGCACCAGCTGTCTTCAATATTGAACCTTTTCACAATATTCTAATTTTCTGAGATACAGATTTTGGGGTTTTCATTAGTTGTCAGTTATAATCATCAAAATTAAAAGGAATGAACACTTGAAATATGTTAGTCTGTGTGGAATGAATGTATACATTATACAAGTTTCACTTTTTGAATGGAATTACTGAAATAAATCAACTTTTTGATGATATTCTCATTATATGACCAGCACCTGTACATAAAGAATATGTAAATTTATACATACTGTAATGCCATAAAAATAACCAAACCATGCAAGTGGAAACATGACAAACATGCATGACTGTTCAGTCCCACTGTGAGTCCTCTACTGAAATGTGTCACTAGAGGGCGCCAGAGCTCCATGTAAAGAATCACCTGACAGGATGCAAGTGTTTCATACAATACCTGGAGTTTTTGGATCTTCAAACTTTTAAGAAAACACAACCCATGTTAGTCAAAAGTCAAATCTGTGAAACCACACACCACAGCAAAGTAAACCCCATCACTGCAGAACATTATCACCCACCATTACCCTGTCCAACCACACGCACAAACGGTGGCAAGGTGTGTGTTTTACCGTGTAGAAGCCCTCTAGGTTTCTGTGTCAGCTACTCCATCTAGTAAGGAGTCTGAACTCTGGTTGGCCAGGGCCCTTTTATTATCCCTCAAATGCTGTGGACACGCAAACACACACACACATACATTCAGAGACAACCACATTAAGGGTCTACAACATACACATAAAGACACGCAGTATGTAACATCAGTGTACAAAATTGACTTCTAAAACAAAAAGTCATGAAGACCACACATCACACTTCACATATGCTGTATTTACATTCAGGCAGAGAACACAATTTAATTTGTTTTTTACTCTGCATGTGCCCGCGACCCTGTACACAGGATAAGCGGTTGACGATGGATGGATGGAAGCATGGACTCTGCCTGTGTAAATCCAAAAGTAGCAGCACTGGCATGCAATTAGACTGTTCACCTCATGCACAACTGTGGTACGCAGAAAGTAACAGCGTACAAAAAAAGGAAATACAAAGAAAGAGGGATTCTACACAAGTTAAGAGACAGAAGGAAAGGCAGAGGGTCACCTCTAGGAGGGCTGGGTTAGAAACTGATTCTGCTGGAAGTTTGAGACAGCATAAAGATGGTGGAGGGCTCGGAAGCAAGGCACCGACGCTTAGTCTGCCAGAGGGAGGGATAAGGGAGGAGAAGGAGGGGGAGGAAGAAGAAGAAGAAGAAGAAGAAGAAGAAGAAGGGAGGAACCAGGAGGTCAGAGGAAAGAGTTAAAGATCTGAAGATTAGTCAGATGTTTCAAAATGCCACATGGTCAATTTCTGGGATTACAATAAAAATCTAAAGGCCACGTTAACAGATATGAGAAGATAAAATCTGTCTCTGAGGATCAGAAATCTCTCTCCACCACCCCCGATATAAGGGAAAGGAGCAGTTTAGGACATGTAGGAAGAAATATAGAAGGTTGTTCAAGTCATTAGGAAGTAAAAGTTCAAACCTCACTTCAAACAGTTTGAAACCAAACACATTTAACAGGCCTACACATAACAGGAGACATTTACTTTCTTCACTGATTTTCTCAGTGCAACCCACTCTACAGCAGCCCATCCAATCATCAAACACAGTGTAAGAATACAGGCTGGGTGGAAAGACAGCTTTCCATGTACTGCACCTGCACCCACAACATTCGTGCTGTGCTTTGCAATGCCTCCTCTGTGACTAGATTTTAAAACCCTGGGACATAAAGTGTTATTATTTCTATTATTTTATGTGCAAAACTTTCACAATTTATTCATGATTAATGTTTTGTTGAACACGGAATCCTACAGTATATCTAACTGGCTAATGAACGTCTTCACACTTTAATTATTTCTGCATAACATGTCACTGTTCAGACATCTAATCATATAATTCTGTAGCCAAGAAGCTGGTCCATTTTGTTGATTCCTGATCAAATTAAGCTGTAACACCACATGCTGACCCTTTTTCTATTTTTCCTTTGGCCACCTTATAAAGACCTCCTAAACTGTTATGGCAAAGCCAGATCAGTGCACATCTTTAAAAAACATCAGGTTTATTTTCTGAGTTTCTCTTGACTTTTATTTTGTGGGATATCCACCTAATTCCCTTTTCTTTTTTTTTCTTTTTTTTTTATATTTGTTGTCCTCTCTATTATCATTCTAGCCAGGGTAAAAACAGCAACAGTCTGCTTTGTGTGGTAATAAACTCTTACAAACATGACAAAACAGCTCTTCACCACCACAAATTACATAACCTGTGTTACATGTTCAAAATGTATAGTTTTTACACAGGGTTTATGCAACTTTATGCAACAATTAATTATGCCATTACTAACAAAACATATGCTTCATGGCAGAACTCCCAGACTCTGTAGAGGAGTGAAATAAAACATAAAATAACTCTATTTTATGCTATTTGCTAATTGATAGTTTTTTTGGGTTTTTTTAATAAAGGAGCACAGCACACGACACAGAGGGTCTTACTGACTTACATCCAACAGAGCAGGGATGTAGCCGAAGCCAGCAAACATCTGCTGACCCACAGTCATCAGTTAGTGACACAGTATTATCTGTTACTCAACAAATATTGATGTCTTTATCTCAAAGTAAAAGTAGTTTGGGAGGTGAATCTGCAAAAATGATCTACATAACAAAAGAATACAACACTTGAGTTCAAAATGAACAGTATGTATGTGTATGCACCCACCTGTATGCGTTCAGTAGTTGTGGGCCACAGCGCCCTCCAGATGACCTTCTTCACCACATCTGGCAGCAGACTAGCTGCTATTAGAAGGATTATACTAAGCCAGGCCGGACCACTGGACAACATCTGCATGAACACATAGTACATCCTCTGGTAGTTGAGGAAAGGCCTGGAGGAGAGGAGAAGTGGAGAGAGAATATTTCTTTCAATAACTTTTCAGGTGTGTGGCCAACTAATCTGTAACCAACACTTTAGGAAATCCACTGTAAAACATTATTTTATGTTCACATGAAAAACATTTTCAAAGATTACCAGATGATGCCGCCCCACAGCAGAGAGAAGACCACAAAGAAAATCAGTGATCCCCAGATGACAAAATGGTTGATCCAAGTCCAATAATGAGTATCAAGAACCAACTACAAGAGAGGGAAAGAGATGAGAGGCGAACACTTCGACCTGTCAAACTTAATAGCTCACTTTAATGATACCAGTGAGGATTAACCCAGCTTCGCTCGGGTGCTTTGTGACTGGAGATATTTTATGTGCGTGGATACCTTGAATGTAACAGTGAAGACTAGCACAGTGAAGACCAGTGTCCCAAATGTCCAGTTTCCAAACATCTGCAGAGGCAAAGTGAAAAGAGATGCTGTTAGTGACACATTTCAAATGAAAATATTTCTGCTCAGTACATTTCTTGTTCAATAAAATTCACATCGTCATGCATCCTGTTACAACAGTGAGTTCATCCAGGCTATGTTTTTTGCAGCTCATTGTCGCATCACCAGATAGACGTGAAACAGATTCTAAGCAACTGTCAGACTGAATATTTATTTGTGTGTATTAAAAATCATGTTTATTAAATGCTTAAATGCCGTCTCTACACCTGGCATGAACATGCATCACAGGTGACATGACTATAATCAGGTACAAGTAAAGGTCATTTGAGGCCTGGTGCTAATATGGTACACAGAGATAAACTTAAGTGCACGCATTCAGTAAGGAATCAATCAATCAAACAGATGGCGGGGTGCTCAGACAGCGACATTCAGGTGACTGATGGATGGGAAACATGTGAGATGAGGTGTCTTTAAATTACTTAAATATTACCAGAACAAGCGATAGGCATGTCCACCTGATAGGAAAACATTTTAAATGTTCTTCAAGTCCAATTTAATGATTCATGTAAATTTGAAACATCGGCCTCTCTACTGTATTTTATACAGAGTGTCATTAGGCTGGATTTAGAGGGAAACTTCTTTAGCACCACAAAAAGAGGATGACTACTAATCTTGCAACATTACCTGCACTAAAAGCTTTGTTAATTTCTGGGAATGGCAGATTATGGCCTTTGAGAAAGAGGGATGTAAAAATCTGTTTCAGCTCTTTGTGCTGCAGGCTGTAGGGTTTATGGGAAATGTGGTTTTAATTATTAACAAAATTAACTCAGAATGCTGCTGACATAAGACAGCCATATTTACAGTAAATACTCCAATGTGTCATACTAACAGCTACATGGAAAATATTTAATGTCTTCAACACATTACTATGTACTGGAGAGGACTGCAGTATTAATGCCTATTTTATCCTAACATAAAACCTTAATAATCCTAACATAATGACTTTAAGATGATGAGGGCCAGAGGATCAGAGGCCCTAAATGTTCTTTCAAACCAACACTTAAATGTACTCCCGGTTCAAAAGTCATAGTGGTGGTGATGAAAATTATTTGCCAAAATCAAAACCATGTCATGATTTAATGTCAAAACTCACCCTGGCTTATCTTTGCACTCTTTGGCTACTAGCATGCAAGAAGCATTATAAAATATAACATTTTTATTTTTGCTGTTTCCTTAAATGTGGTGAGTCCATGAGAATGCATTAGAGATGTCATGAATGACTGAATAAAGTAAAAACACTACATAATGACAAGCATGAAAAGATAAAAACTAAGCTTTTCAAAGGCCACCTGAATATGTGTGGGTTGTAATGTTGGTAGTGCCATATGATGACAGTAATGAATTATAACAGACCTCTGACTGTGTGTGTCAGTCTTAATATTATAAGCTATCCCAAGTCACAAGACAAAGCCAATGGGCCCCAAAATGTTTAGTTTTCTATTATTAAAGTAGAATTACAGATATTATCGCTACAGCGTGGTGCTTCCAATACCTAGGGCAGCTATTGTAGTACTATTGTAGTACTCCGTGTCAGTGTCATATTAACATTATAGTTAACATTAAGTGGGCACATTTCAGTGTTTTGGGTATTTAACCAGCATGAGTGTCAACACAATCACTTGGAACAACTTTTACAATACGAAAATTCTAATCCTAGGACAGTGGATTGTTCTGGTGTTTCTCTAATGCAGCTCTTCACATACGCAACTGCACTTAATTCACCTTTTTCTTTCTGTAAAAGCTTCAAATTTGCGTCCTGTTCACTACTTTGCATCTCATTTTAATTTCTTTACAAACAAGTCTATAAATAGTCCTGATGGTTAGGAGTGTAACCGCAAATGTGACAATGCTCTTCTGCTCTAAAAGTAGCACCATCATCTAAAGGAGAATTAGATTTGAAAGATGGCTACATGTCTCAAATGTCATGTAATGGAAGTGCAACTACTTTTCTATATTCATTTATTCCCCAGTTTGTAACATTATTCCCCCCCCACCACACACACACACACACAAAATGTGTACTTAAGGTGTTCGATTACTACGTTAACACCTGGGCACATGAGCATGGTTCACACTATGGGTCACTACACAGAAGCCTACAGTTGATGTCTCTACAGCAAGCACTAAGGGCGGGATATGAGATGAACGGTGAACGGATGATGGGTCGAAACAGGACGAACAGGAAATTGGAAACTGAAACTAGGGCGAGATGACAGAGAGACAGGGACAGGCTTACCATCTGTGTGTTGGTTGTCATTAGCTGGGAGGAGGAAAGAGAAGCAACAAGAAAAAGCAACACAAAGGTAAGAGGAGAAAGAAGAAGAAGAGGAGGAGGAGAGGGCCAGAAGAAGAAAATCATAATAAAATGAACAACAGTTTTGTGGCTGGAGAAGAATAAAAATTAAATACAAAAAACTGAAATCAAGCAACTCAACGCAGTCCAAAAGCTTTCTGGGAGAGTTAACGCCGCTTGAAAATGAAAGGAAACAAACAGAGAAAAACAAAGGAAGATTGTGGAAAACCCGGCATGCTGTCGCGTCTTGGATGTGAAGGGGAGAACGTCTATCAGCTTTTAAAGTATGTAGTACAGTTGGAATATTTTACTGAAGGGCACAAGTTAGAACAGCAGCCTTGACTCTTTTTCAGCCTGAGAGACAACTTAAAAATGTGGTTTCTTTTTGTAAAAGAGGGGCAGGAAATGTACCACACATTTTATCATGATATGCTGCACATTTGCTGTACTACTAACTAACCATTTGCAGCTTACTACATAATAATGTGCTACAGTGATTATCATTCTGAAAAAGGTATGATTTAATTTTTAACTTTACAGTAGCTGATAAGTCAGTCTCAAACCGTCTTGGCCTGAAGAGATATGTTTGTAGATGGAAACAGTAATTCATTGTTAATTTAATTAACCAACCTACAAGTGAGACCACCTTCAGTTTTGAGTTGCAATCAAAATAGAAAGCTAAAATCCAAAATTTAATCTCTCAGATGCTTCATATAAAGAAATCCACTTTCATAGCAACTCTAAGTCTAAAGGCTACACTTAACACACATGAAACCTAAGTAGTAAAAAAAAAAAGATGGGAAGAAGATGTGATTTTACACCACAAAGAACAATAACCTTGATTTATCTTCATTAAAAAATGTAAAACATCACACACCAAAAAGACTGAAAAAGACAAATGACCAGCAGCAAATAATAGAGAACTGCTTTGTGTAGAGAACTGCATCATGACAGGCACGGGCCTGTAGAGAATCTGCAAATTGACAAATTATAATAGGAAATCAAAAACAAAATGTGTTCTTTTGAAGCGTGTAGCCTACAGTTTAATATAAATAATATAAATTTAAATTTAATATACATTTAAATTTTCAACAGCTTTCTTATTTCTCTATTTAAAAAATGGAGGTGCAGCCAATTTGGAAAACTACAAAATTGGAAAAATAGTGAACACGTCGTCATTAGCCTGTGGTTATTTGATGTATCATAAGTCATGTCCAAGACAAATCTGTTTCCAATAAATTAATAAAAAAAGATTCTCCCAGACTGAATTAAAGGGTGCTGTCATAGAGAAATGGACGTTACCTGTCCGTTGCTGGTGAAGGTGGTGTTGTCAAACAGGAAGTAAGCACCAAAGAACATCACGATGGCGTCATATACACCCAGGAAAGTCCAATATATGAAGATGGGCCACCGCAGCAAAGAGTTCTTAGCAATATCTCTGTGACGACAAACAGTTCACAGTTAAATGACTCATGCTTGACCACCTCTCATATGAGTCATTACACATTTATTGATCAAAACTACATTACCTGCTTGTGGGAGGACCTTAACCAGAAAAGCTTGATACAATAATTTGTGAATACATCCCTGATATAGGCACCTTATAAACACTAAAATACAAAATGACCTGAGACCATTCATGCACCTTCAGAAGTCTTAACTGTTTGTAACAAAGGACGATAATTCCTGTGTAATTTTTGAATGTGATATGATGGGAAAAGGACTGAGGGGGAAAATGTTTCGTCTAATCATGTGAAACCTCATGTTTTCAATTTGAAATTTACTCCTACTTTTAAACTTAAGAATAAAAGCAAGTTATCAAATTTGGTGCTGTGGAGACAGAGACATGCGGAGAGGAGAGGAAGAATTCTGACGACGCGCAGTTAATAACACGTGGTTGGACAGCGCAGGCATAAACTTTGTCAGCGAGTTGGTGAGGGACATCATTTCACCACTGACTTTACACAGTAATGCGTTTTCAGTTAAATTGAAGGTGGTGATGACGCTTTGTTTATTTACCACAGGACAAACGCGGCAATGCTGATGATTTTGGCCTGTCACAACCATCAATAAGCCGAATAATTATGGAAACAATTTTAGCACTTACAGCTCCACACACTGTCACGTATTTCATCGACTTCCAAACAACACCCCGTAATCTGACAGAAGCAAACACAGTTCATTCAAATAGCCGGCAATACAGGAGCACCAGGCGCATTTGATGGCGCTCATATAAAGATAAACTTTTTTTTAATCTTTCATTTATTAATGTGTTGGCCTATATCATAATGTATTATCTTGAAAATTCTTTATTGTTAAATGTGTGTTGAATATAAACTCCTCTTAGGAATTTCACCATTCAATGCGAATTTATCTGAGAATATTCTTAAATAAGGAAATCTCTTCAGTGATTGGTCCTTGGTGACATCGTCATCCAAAACCTGTTTGCGGCACAGCAAAGTGTCGTAAATCAGCACTAAGACTGACACTTAAGATTTAGTCTTACACTTCACTCAAATTATGACTGTGATGCTTGATAACTAACTTTTAAGCACAGCTTTGAACCAAGAAATTTTTTACTCTTAAGTCAGTTCTTAGCAGTGTTCTTGAATGAGTAATTCTGAGAAGCTTGATAAATACAGGCCCAGATCTCAATGTACTGAGCAAACATCTCTGTGCAAGGATATAAAATCAACAGAAACTGTTTATGCCTGTAGTTTATTATAGTCAAATTGAGTTAGTGTACCCTTTTGCTTTTAAAAATATTTCAACCCAATAATCCAATAGACGGTGTTCTGACTGATCATGTCTTGTGTATAAATGTATAAATTAACCTGAATATTCATTTGTTTCCTTCACTTACAAGACTGAAGTGAACTCTGAAGTACACTTCAGCATAATACAGGCCATTATATTCTATTATGTGCTGGAGACGACTGAATCATTGTGGCTGATGTGACATGACCTCCAAAGAGTCTTATTCAATTGAGTATCACTTTCTTTCATGATGATCTAAATCTGATCTGGACCCTTTTCCAGGAGGTTAAACACTAAGTTGGACAGTTGACACGACCAGAATTAAATATTCTAACACATTCTGTACATTTTAAATGTAACTCTAATCTGTCTAACTTTTGTACAGGAAATCTGTGTAATAAGACAAGAGCTGCAGGTAACACACACTGCAGATGAAGTATTTCTACCTTGCTAGATATCAATACTAACCTATAGAGAGACGGGTCCTTCTTTAGGATGTCCATGTTAATGTGCTGCTCGATTAGACTGTAGAGCAGAATGGGCAGCGAGGTGAAGCTGATGTTGTACAGAGTCAAGTAGGCTGTATCATACAGAGGCTGGGGAGAAGGGTAGAGATCATTTTGGTTATTTTTTTCCTTATGATTGTTTGTTTATTGTGTGTGTGTGTGTGTGTGTGTGTGTGTGTGTGTGTGTGTGTGTGTGTACCTGTTGTGAGAAGCCACAGAAAAATTGGTAGAGGAACTGGGGGAAGATGAAACAGACATTCTGGATGGAAAAAAAGAAATAAATAAGACAAGAAATTTAATGCTAATTCTGAAGGTTGCTGAGATTAAAAAAACTACAAGTATCATAGGAGTGATAGAATTTAACATAGTTTAATTTCCCCATTTGTTTCATGCAAGACAAAAAAGAAAACTAGAAACTAAATAAATATTTAGTAACAAAAGTGTAACTAAGCTACTGCCTCCAAACCCACAATAAAAACTACATAAAACACAATTTAAATAAAGTTAAAAACAAACAAAATCCCTACTCTCTTAAACAAACACCGTACATGATATGGTCAGACAGACTACCTTGTAGAAGAAGTATTGAACGAGTTCAGAGATGCGTATATAGTAATAGTGTCCATGGACGAGCAGTATCTTCTTGAGGTGTTTGAACTTTGGGATGGCGTAGTCACTGTTCCTCACTGCCTGACGACCCTCCTTACCCATGATACCTGGAGAGGCAGATAAAGGTTTGTCATTGAAAATACATGATTACACATATATAGTTTTACGGCAGAGTAAAGTTAAAGGGCTGACTTTTAGCTTTAAGAGTGTTACTGTAGGACTACAGGCTGCATCATCCCCCAATTTTGACAATACAGTAAAACAATGACCCTGAACATTCAGTTAAGGTAATCAAGCTTTTTAAATGCCAAGCAAAAGATTTTCTTGACTGACCTAGGTCAAATGGATCGTGTGTTTCGTGCTGAGTAACAGACTGAAGGGAACCACATATGATCCCTTTTTTTTTTGGTGTATGTAAAAATGCCCATGTGTATAAAAAGGGCTGCCATTCTTTCGCTGTACATCTGATATGGAGGTAAATAAAGGCTGAATAAGTTGTGGAAGGTGTTAATATGAGGCAATTTTAAAGGGATGTAGCATGTTAGCTTTGTAGCGCAGAATGCCACTAACCGATGCCAACATGGGCCTCTAGGATCATGCTAACATCATTAGCTCCATCCCCAATGGCCAGCGTGATCGGGTTCTCCTTGGAGGCTTTGATCAGCTTCACAATCTACAAATACAAGAAAGTGAAGCTTTATACAGCAATTACGGGACAACCATCAACGAATGCTTCGCCACTACTTATTGTGATCGGCGTCCGCCTCAAAAGAATTCACGTGCTGTCTGTTGCACTTTGTACCTGTGCTTTCTGCAGGGGTGCCATTCGACAGCAGAGCACGGCGCTGCAGTTGCGGCAGATTTCTAGGAAGATTTCTTTGTAGTTCCCTGAGTTTGAGTCCTCCTGGGAGGGCCTCATCACCGCAGAGAGGGTGGCTCCATCGATGATCAGACCATAGTCAGTACAGTCATCTGATAAACTGTACAAACAGAAGTAACGGTACTCAATGAAACACAAAGGAGAAACGGGATTTAATTTAGCTACATATACACCCTTTTGTTGTCTTTTTGCAAAAGACATTTAGCTTGTCTGTATAGCATAATTTCCACTGTAAACATACGTATGTGGCTTATTAAATTTGAACTGAAATCTCAAAAAGGTTTCTACAAGGTTGGCAAGCTGGTAGTCTGAAACTGTATCACAAAAACACACACACACACACACACACACACACACACACACCCAGAGAAGGTGTCCCTGGTCATGCCTCCGTGCTGCCTCAGGACCGTCCTGCTCAGGTCAAACAGGACGTCATGTAGGCTCTGCTCCTCGGTGCGTTTGGTGGTCAGCTCCAGGATCTGGGTGTTGCGGCGAAAAAGCTTGCTGGCATAGCAGGTTGCAGCCGCTGTCTCCATCTTATCGCCGGTCAGCACCCACACCTTCATCCCTGCCTTGTGGAGGGACTCAATGGTGTCTGCTGCTTTTTCCTGGAGCCTGTCGTGAAGGAAAGTAGGACAAGATTTTTTTGGTGGTCTGTAAATATTTCTTAGGGGTAGGAGAAAATACCCAGAGCCACACAGTATAACGTCATTTACACTCCCCCATCCTCTTTCTGCACAGGATGAGTTGACTTGCAATGCCCTCTGGGTTAACAATACCTTTTAAATCTGTAAAGCAAATTGCTTTAGTATTGAGTATACCATTTCAGCGTTGAAGTAATCCTCTTGCCCTCACTCAGTATGGCTCACTGAGTGGGTGGGGCAGTACTTGTCATGGCAGCAGCAAGCACAAAATCTTTCTATGTAAAGGATTAGCAGCAAACGTTTCCTTAAAAGAGATACCCTACCTGTCCTCCACAGCAGTGGCTCCCAGCAGTATCAGATCTTTCTCAATGAGGTCATAGGCCTCAACAAGTCGTTTGTCGCGGTCCTGTAGTGCTAACTTGGCCCCGCTCAGCAGGTGACAAATCTCCTGGTACTGTTCGGGACTCAGAGGCCGATAGGCAACACAAAGTGTCCTCAGACCCTCCTGTAGGAGAGGAGAGATTCAGACTAGGCATGTGAGTGTGTGGGCAGCAACTGCACTTTCTATTTCAACCTCACAAGTGCAACACCCATCACAGATGCTCCTGTTTGCACTGAAAGCCACGGCCACGGCGAGGTTTCACTGACCTGGTTTCTACCACAGATTCAGTTCACTTTTTATGGGTGAAGTGACAAAAACTTCACCATATTTAGTTCTGCATTTTGGAAGTTATTATGTAATGAAGGATTGCAGTTCACTGCTTATTATGTGCATTTCCCCTCAACCTGCTTACTTGATTTAAGTTAGTTATGTCCTACATTTCCTCTGAGAATTTTGGACCATCAGATTGGGTGTATAAAAAGAACAATATATATATATATATATATATATATATATATATATATCTTTCACAAATTTCGATTTGATAAAGTGTAACTTGTGTCTGTGTAACTTAATCCCACAGATTGCAGGACTGGGGCTATGAGATTATGACATACATGTAAATCACCTTTAATGTCTAACAGCTGAAGGGAGAAAAAAAAACAGTGTTTTTTGGTTTATTAGAAGCCACACTGAACCTTCTGTGGAAATATACAGAACAACTGTTTTAAGAAAGTGGGCCATGTTTCACTGATCGACTTCCTGTGGTAACCATGGAAACCGTTGTGGTCATGTTCTCCAACTGTGAAAACTACCAAAGTCACACAACTTTAACTCTATAAAGGTGAATCATGGGAATAATAGAGTAAGAGAAAAATCGTTTGAGTGTGCTCTCACCACTGCGTTGTGCTCCACCCGAGCTTTGACCTGCTCCACCTTGCCTGATACAACCCTGGGGAAGATGGAGGAGTCTGCACCTTTACAGAACAGATAGAGCTCACCTGCTCATGCACACACAGAGGCAAAAAGAGGAGGGGAAAGTGTGTAAGAGAGAAGCCATACAGATAAACCCAAACACATACGTGTATATTAACAGTCTGAAGGGTTTTACCAGTGCTGGCCCTGACAATGACGCTCATCCTCCGTCTGACTGAGTCAAATGTCAAAACCTCCAGCAGCTCAAACCTGAATAAAAAAAATACACAGAAACAACAGTGATTTATCCTCTAGTCCCACTTAAATTAGGAATGTCCCCATCATTTTCGTCCTTTAATAATCTGATCCAGAACCTATAAGTTGGAATCAAAAATTTATCTGACGCATTGAAATAACAGCCTTCTTAATTTGGTCATTTCATTTTGGACGAAGAAGAAGTTACTCACAGAATTTACATTAATTAGTGACAGATACAAATCTGCTAGCTGAGTGTTTAGTACATTGTGCTCTTTGCTATTAAGGGAGGAGTTACTGTTGGAGTTTAGCATAAATCACCGGTATCTGGTGCGCATGTCCCCTAAGGGATTTAAGGGGACATGGGCACATTAATTTTTACTTCAATTTAGAGCCGGCTGACATTAAGGTGAGCAGCGCTGCAACAGTTGCAGGCTAAGATAACAAAACACAGTAGAGTACATCAAAGAAAGGAACGGATTTTGATTGGCTTAATTTGGATACCGATCCATTAAAAGATAGGATCGTCTCGGAACATCTCTAATTAAAATCTTACTAAAACCTTCACAAATCCTACTTAATGATCCCAAAACGTACAGTAGCTGGTCGTCAGTTTTAAAGCATGAAAATAAGTAAAATTCAGAGATACAAAGTTTCCAGCCATCAACAATCATCTCTGTAAATCACTGTTCTATATTTATACATAGCTGGAAGGCAGCTGGTTTCAGCAGTTACTAGGCTACTCCCATCTGCTGCAGCAGTGACATAATATTACAGAAATGCACATGCAGATCAACTCTAATCACTGCTCTAATGTTGCTCTTAATTATGGAAACTATTTTTGAGAAGTGACAATTTTTGAGATGAGTGGTGTGTTAAATACTTGACAATAATAAGCACTACATCTGCTAAAAATAACTTCTAAAATAAATGAAAAGCTGATTGGAAGATTGCTGCAGAGGGTTTTAGAGAGAAACAACATGATTTAAAAGGGACACACTCACCTCTCAATCTCATCCTCTCTATTCAGGATCTCCATGTGACTGTCCTTGAGTCTCAGATAGGTAAAACCGAGCCTGCGGCACAGAGAAAAGCACCGTTATTAGAAATGGAATGAATAAACTGAGTGTATGTATGTGAGTGAAAAACGAGAGAGAAACTAAATGTTTCTAAATGCTCTGTGTGTGGCTTTATTCGCAATTCAGCAGTCCGATTGTCATTGGCATTGTGTTTGTGAGTGTGTGTGAGAGCTCCACCTCTTCATGCCCTCCACCAGCGCCACCTCGTCCGGAGATGAGGAGATGTAGAAGGAAGTGGACTTGCCCTGGTGGATGCCATGCTTGATCCCGTCCACTGTCTCCTCCTCCTTCACCTGCACCGTGTGGCATAAACACAGTGCCCGGAAAAACAGCTCCTCATGCTCCTGCGTTGGACGGCCAACAGAGTGTTAGTCTAACACAACACAACACAACACAACACACACACAATGAAGCTATGCTCACCTTGGCCTCAGGACCCGGTGATGTGTCGATCATGTCCATACTGGCTGCACCAGGCATCAGCTAGCAAAAACACAAGTTAAGTAAATTTAAATATAATGATATTAACAATAACAGGAGATCTTAAATATAGTACAGTCACATTTAACACTAGGGAGTGAACTTAGTAAGAATATATGAATTAAAACAGAGCTAAAAATGTACATTGCGTATGCTGGGTGTGACACAAAATGACAAATAGAAAATAGTGAATCAAAGATGAATGGGAATAATGATCATGAAACATATTTCTAATACAAAAAAAATTATAATATATAGAAAACTCAGTCCGTCAGAAGGTTTCAATAATCTTTCAATAATCTGTTCCAAGCTTAAGGTTATAATAAAGACATGTGAGCAAACAGATAATCACAAACATCCATCTGGTTGTTACCTGTCCGTTACAGATAGCATGAGGAATATAAACGTGTCCGTCCACACAGCACTCTATGAACTCCATGTTGTTCTCTGTTAGAGTCCCTGTCTTGTCTGTAAACACATACTCCACCTGGAAAGAGAGCAGAAGAGGTGTTCTGTATGTGAGTGCGTTTGTGACGTTAATTCACATCCAATTTCTTGAATACATCTCCGTACAGTATAGCAGTGTTTGCTTTTATGTGGTAAAGTAAAGCGTTCTTTGCTACCTGTCCCAGCTCCTCGTTCAGGTCTGACGTATTGACCACAGCTCGCTCTCCCAGCTCCTCGTCAAACATCTCGTCGTCCCACATGATGAAATAGGAGCCCAGGAACTTCTGCATCTCCACGGTAACGTACATGGAGACAGGAATGATGTAGTTGAAAAGAACCATGAAGGCCAGGAAGTCTGTGAACGCCCTGATCAACTGAGGAAGAGGAGGAAAAGAGTGAGAAGGTAAAGAGGGGATGAAGGAATCTTTTTTCCCCCCAAATGGAAGTAAATATAGTTAACAGACTCACGATGTGTCTCTGTCTCTCTGCTTCTGTCCTCTGGTTGTACCAGGGCTCGTCTCTGTTGGGGTCGGCCTGCCACACATATTTCAGCACCGTGTTGACAAAGGCCTTGCTGATGAGAATGCACAGGTAGACCACCAGGTAGGCATTCATTGACCTGCAGGGGGAGACAACGAGAAACGTTTTACTACAATGCAGACTTCTACACAGATAGTGTGGAAATAGCTGTGTATGAAAAAGATCAATGTGTGAAAATATATTAATTAAATGAAGTAGGTAAGAAGATTGAAGATTCTATTGATACTTGTGTACTGATACACACTGTACAGTGTAGCAGTACGTCTATACAAATATTTGTGGACTGATACACACTGTATATTCAAACTGCCAGCGATCAAGATGGAAGCCTTACATCCTTTGAACACCGTGACAAAGTGTAGCAGTACGTCTATACGGACTGTGCTTTGTGGACTGAGGCAGTAAAAATGCATACAGATGCTCATGAACCCAAATGCAAGGACCAAGCAATCCAAACACAACTATGGAGGTTTCCTGACAAGCATTTGCCACATAAACACAAAAACTATCTCTGATCCACAGATAGAAACCAGGAATAGCTGAGACGAGGCATTCACTCCCAGCCAAGTTCATTTTGGCAAAAGGAAGACAAATACAATTCAAACGAGTTAATCAGGCACACACTGTTACCAAGTGTAAATGTAATCCACCTCCAGCCAGTCATATCTACAAGCCATCTGGATACAAGATGCATGTCAACGCCAGATGGGAAGAAAGTGATCCAGTCAGTGCAGTGAGCCAGAGAGACACAAGGACTCTTAGCCAGTGAAGAAGTGAATAGATGGATGAATTAAAAAAATGTTAATGATTATCTAAGCCAGCAATAATTGAGAAAAAGGATGCTGCCAAAGACTGTAAAGCTTGCAAGTGCAATAAATGCTAACAGGTTCTCCTCTAGAAACTGTTTATATGAATGAAAAAGAGAGCGGACTTACTTTTCCACTGCAGATCGTTTCTGAGACTTGGACTGGTAGTTGAGAGCCATCTTGGTTTCCATGCCAGTGTAGATGGCAACGGCTAACGGGAGGCAGAGGTGAATGTGAGAGTTCATTCTCAACCGAAAGTTTGACAAAATAAAACCTTAACTCATCACCTAGCTTTGTCCAGAGCTTTCAATCGCTTCTACCAGTCTTCTCAAGTGGATGGAGTTTGCATAGTTGTCATATGAAACCTTTTACACCATATCTGACCATGTGACTGAAGATCCATACTCAGATCACTCGATGACTACTGAGCAAAATCCATCCACTGAGAGGGACAGTGAGAAACAGTTGAAAGTTCAAGAAAAAGCTAGCATATTATAGTATTTCAGGTGATATTACCATAGACGTGCTCAGTGTTCTTGAGTGTGGCTCCTCGGAGCAGCAGGTTCTCTGATCCTAACGGCCTGCAAACAGACAACAGCTCAGTTTTACGACTATTTCATCACTTTTAGACTACGTTCAGACTGCAGGCCTTTTCCCAGATCCATTTTTTTTTGTTTTACAGTTCACATTATTGCTTAAATGTGGCCCATATCAGACTCCAGTGTGAACTGTCCACGGCCTGAAAGTGACCTGCATGCACAGAAGAATAACATGACGTCACACACAGCACGCTGTTTGCAGGCTACAGAAGTAAACAAGGTGCAACAGAGGTTAGCTCACGTGAGACTGTTACTGTACTGAACAACCAAAATTACAATCCTATTTTACTGCCATCACAAACAAAACAACTACAACACTCTTATCAAAATAAAACTAACAGAAATACTCAACCATAGAAAAGAATAACTCAGCTTAACTAGTTCAGAGTGAGAAGACTATGACTAAATATGATGGAAACCGATTGGTGGACTGATGCAGAGTTTAAAGCAGTTAGTTGGAAAATTCTGATTTAATTGATCCGAGTATTTCACTGATCAATATTGAGGAGAAAATTATCCTATTCCTGTGATATGTTAGGACTTATTACCTGGCCACTGGCTCATTGTTCATGTAGAAGTTGATACGGCCCACAAATCTGTGTAACAGGAAATAAGTGACAGACAACATGTTTTAGACATTTAGTTGGCAACACAGTGTTTTCCAGATGTGTGTATCTGTGTGTGTGAGTTGTACTGACTTGTACAGGTCCGGCTGTGGTTGTTCACACTCTATGGTAGCGTGGATAGAGTCCACCTCCTTCTCTGTGTTGTAAGCTTTGGTGTCCTGAACTGCATAGTATGTCTAGGAGGGAGGACAGAAGAAACATTGAGAGGAAGGAGAGAATGGATGGGTAAATAAAAAGAGAGGAAGAGGGAAGGAGGTAGCAATTACAGGACATGATTACAAAAGGTGGTAAATGCAAGGAAGGGAGGAGGATTAGAAGAGACAATATTAAGGAAAGGTGGTGTGATGGTGATGATTAAGGGAGGGAGGCTTAAATACAATATAGTGTGACACTATGATTTTCAGCTGTAAAATGTTACACTCTGTTCTGTCTAATTATATGTACCATAAACAATTAAGACCTTTGCGATGAGAAGTGGCAGCATTAACATGAATGATGTAAATAAAAAGATAAAACTGTCAGGTTGTGTAATGTTAACTAACTGTCCTGTACACACACACACACACACACCTTGTGGCTGCTCTCTCCATCCAGACTGGCTGTAGTAACATAGCAGGTCCCATCATCTCGAGATGTGGAAAGAAGGATAAGGTCGCAGGGAAAAGTCTCATTTTCTTTCATGAAGACGACATCTCCAACCTGAGAGAGAAAAGGCATCCTTTTATTAACAAAATGCACTGGGTCCTTAGTAAGGCTCATGCAGACAATCAATTTCTTCTTTGTTACCTTTTTAATTTTAATGTGTATTTTATGTTTGTACAGATTTAATGACAGTAAACATAAACACGGGTCAATTTGGTGACTCAAGCAAACACTTTTACACACCAAGGCAACAGGGTGAAATGTGTCTCTAGCCTTTGTTTGCTCTGGTTACACACAAACTAGTTAGATTTGACACATTAAGGAGGGTGACTAAGGCGAAAGCTGAAATGAAATGTAGCACATCTAATGACTTTCGAACGGGGTCTGACTGAAAAACAAACTCCCTGATGTACTGTCTTGCATGGCATGCCACTTATCCGGCTGGTATTGCTAATGCACTTTCTACTAATGCAGTCTGCCTAACAAACTAACCTTCTGCTTTACCACCTGTAAACAGTTCAATTGCAAACATTTGACTGTCGATCCTGTAACAGATCCTCTGCGTCTATTATTCATCTGTTATGTTAGCTGCGATTTCACTCTCTGTATCTATTACATAACTGTAACAGCTAAATTACTTCCACATATAGGGCACACACACACACACACACACACACACACACACACACACACACGCGCACACACACACACACACACACACACACACACACACAGCTTAGTAGCAGGAAAATCCCTCGGGATGAGCCAATATAACAAATGCACCAAAGCTGTGTTCGAGTTATATGGGGTGAGAGTGGTTTATCTGGTGACACACACACACACACACACACCCTGAGCTTGCGACTTTGTTTGCAGACCACTTTCCCGTGCTGCACAATGTGGACAGGACACTGGTTGACGGAGTTGTCTGCTTTGTGTCTCAGCCAGTCCTCGTAACCCTGACAAAGAGAAACAGATAGACAGGATGTGAAAGTGACCTTGCGAAGTGTGTCTTAATTTTGTTGGTGGTGTAGTGTTTGATGGCAATAAAGGCCATGAAAACCTTTGGGTCTCACCTGTTTTATGGCGGTGACTGTGATGACAAAGAAGAGCGGCAGTCCGCTGGTGATCGGACTGGTGGGAGTGTCGATGATCAACTGACACATACACAGAGACAGGGAGAATTAAATGATGGACGTGGGCAGAATATTATATCAACACGACTGACTGCTTTAGAAGGAATATAATAAGTCATGTCTGACCTTTACAGGGAGGTAATAAGAAGTATAAAAATATTGATGGACCTAATTTTCTCCTACGCTCACAAATAACTAAAGGTTCTTTTGATCACATTGGGTGAATAGCTGCATTCACCAGCCCTACTATGCTCCTCGAATATGGGAATATATTCAGTTCAACTACAGCAACAATGGCTTTACATCTGCAAATCAATCAATTTAAAAGGTCCTTTTACTGTTTTGGTTGAGCCTCTTTTTAGCTAAGCTTTTTATCAATGAATGTTTGTGCTTGTTTTTGTTATGTAAAGTACCCTTTAAAAGTTATTGTTTTATATTTCATATTTGTTTCTTGTATTTAGCCAAATTGTATGACAGGTCACTCAGAATAAATACATAAATTCATTTTATTGTGATGTGAACTATTATACTAGGGTACCAAAATGATAAACATAGGAAAATAGTCTATATGTGAAGTATTGAAGGATCCTTGTGGGAAAATTAGATCTTTGCAGCACCACTGATAAAACAAACAGAACAAACAAAGAATATTCACAACAATACTGCAAGTTAGATAATATCGACCAGAATGCAAATGTCTAAATTGTAACGACAAATGCATTCATCACAAATGAGAAAGTTATTCTTAAAATTGCATGAACAAAAGTGGTGCAAAGACAGGAAAATATATCATTTTAAATCTGCAATTAATGTAAAAGTAAAAGCTTTTACCTGAACCAGAAATATGATGAGAAAGTAGAAGTTGGCGACTCTCCTGAACTGCTCGAACATATTCTTAGGGATGAAGTTCCAGAATGTGTACTGGAAACATGAGACAGGTCAGTCAAACAATGCACTAAGTGTCAAAAAGGGGGCCACACTGTTCAGCAGCTATCCACGTCAAATCCAGTGGGAACAAGAACCTCCAAACAGACTCAGGGTGACACAACATGAAGGCGATATGTGAATAATTGCAAGCTTCAGATGGCCAACATAAACTTATAAATAAATTTACATACAGCAAAAGAGACTAACAATACTTTCAGATAGTCTAAAGCTTCATGTTTTTTCTGCAGCATGAGGAATCATAATGTCATAGGACATTTGTTGACAATGCAACGCAGGAATAAAATGCCAATAGGGTCTGAATAAAATAGATGATGAGATGCTTTTTAACTGATTTGACCGTGAGTGAGTAGGTGTATTTCAATAAGGAATTATAAATCGATTATTAACCACAGCCTTAAAAAACATTTAACAAAACTGGAACTACAGAACAAAATGATTCAATTACACTATCTATGAAATATAGTCTCCACTCTTCTAACCTTGTCTTCCTTCCCAAAACGCCTCTTGTGCTATCACCAAGAATAACTCACTCATACAATAAAAGAACCGTTTGAAAAGTACTATAGTAAAAACTGTTCTTTCCTGTCTTTTTGTTCTATTAACTATGCTATTTCAGTGAGACCTTAATAAAGTGTGTTTTGATCTTTGTGTGGGTGTTTTCACTGACCTTGGAGGAGACTATTCTGTTGTCAGGGAATCTTTGCTGTATAAAGGCCTCAGTTCCTGGAGGAGGCTCCTTGTGTCCAATATAAATCGTCCTGCTGTCCACCCAGTTCTCCTCACCAACACACTGCAGGGAAAACCCCCCAAAAGTCATGTCAAGAGTGTTTCATGTAATCACAGTTTACATTTGGTCAGTGATATGCTGTGTGGTTCAGTGGGTGTAGCTTTGCATTGACACGGCGAAGCTCTGATTTTATTTTCTAAATAAAACATCCAATATCTGTCCAATCAAACATCATTTGTCATTTTTATAGGGCTACTAAAGTTAACTAGGTTTTCATGGGAGATCACTAAATGTATGATGATCCTATATGGTCACACACGCTCTATCAACACAATCCTACACACTGATAACAGAATACTGTGGGACACACAGGGACAGATTCTCAGACATTTACAGAGTTAAAATGAAGTGAGTAGTTTCTCCTCAATGAATGAGAGCTTTTGTTATTAAGGATACACGGACCTGCATGTGATTCGCACTGGAATGCAGAATACATTCACTCTCTCTCTCACACACATAAGACACCTGAAGCATTATGCTCTTTTGACATCTCTTTGTCTTTCCTCTTATTATTTTTTATTTCTTATCATCAAGGTGAAAAATAAAAGTTTGATAAGGGATAAGCGTGTTGGAATTGATTTTTTGTTATTTGTGTTTCACCCTGTGCCAGACACTCTGAAAGTTTAGCTCACAACACAAACTCTGAAAAAACTGTGCAGCTTTGCCCCATGAAGCGATAGAGTACATAGTATAGTACATAGGCTAAAGGAGGCTGCCGGTGCTTCTTCTCAGTAATGGTCTCTCTGTATGTTTGAGCGTAATACGTAACACAAAATGACCTCTAAAGATGAACATTATGCAGTGGGGCTCAGACTCAAAAGGCTTTCTCTGAACAAGTCTTGACTCGGAGGTGTTAAGTGATTTTTAAAAAAGCCTTCGGTAATTAAGTTTTCATGTTTTCAAATCTGATGCACATTTCAGTTTGCTTTGTTGCCCTTTAACAGATCAACATTCAATAGCGAAGCAGTGGTGAGGATACCAATGAGAGACTTACCCCATTTCCTGCTCCTTTTTTCATTTTCTTGCATCCTGCTACTGTTTAAGTATCTCCACAATAAATAATGTATCCATTATCTTCTTATTTGTCTGCTAAAAAATTACTTATTACTTACTTATAACTACAAAAAAAACAAACAAGCACCAATAGACATTAGACTAGAGAGGCTATTGGTGTGGTATTCTAATACTCCTGTTTAACCCTAAACATGCAATAAGATCTTTGAGCTTTAAGTGTTTCAGGCAGGACTGGACTTGCATTGGAAACACATCGACACACACACACACACTTTTGGACCAGCTGGATTTGGGTAACACACATTACTCAAGTACCATCTCCCTGCCGTCCACTAAAAACACCCAGTATATTTTCCCAAGTCTAATGTGGTGTCTATAAATTCCTTATTCCAGCCAACAGTCCAAAACCCAAACATATTCAGTTTACTATCCTAAACAATAAAGAAAAGCAGCAAATTATCACTTTTAAGAAGCTGAACCAAGAAAACATTTACTGAAACGATTAAATCGATCTGTCTATCATCGTAACGTAGCATAAAACCGTGTTTGTTGTGAGATTTCTGCTTTGTTACTTTAAAAACCTGCCATTTCCACTCTGTTTTTAAAAAAAAATTAAAATGTGCATACAAACAGCGGCTGTGATGTTTGGTCATGAAGAGCTTCAGTCAAACAACAGATTGGACCCTGTCCAGAGGGCTTTCATGTCAGAGCAGGCTGTAGCCATCTTTAAGCACCTGGTCAGTATGAACTGTAGTAATGAGGGGCAGGCCTGGGCCTGAGGCAGCTGGACTCTCTTTTGCCTCTCTCTCTCTCTCTCTCTCTCTCTCTCTCTCTCGTCATGAAACATTTTATATACATGTCCAATGGCGGTTGTCAATCAAAACAAATAAACCTAGCGTTAGTCATTTAATTCAGCACTAAATACACAGTCCACACACACACACACACACACATGCTAACAAGAGGTGACAGTAATCTGTGGCCTGTGAATGAGATTGAGTGTCAAGAGGCTGCATGTCCCAGTTTCTATACTCTCTCACACTCTCACACAGACACATACATCCAGAGTAACTGGTTAACTCACTGCTCTAAGATTACCTTCTTTAAGATGGAGAGCTATTTATAACCTGTCACCTCCACCTCTCTATGGGAGAGCAAGGAATGGAAATGGGAAAGTTGAAAGCCAAGGAAAATTGCTTAAGAATAAAAATGGATATCGTCAAGAAGACATACATTATTACCCCTACTTCCCCATCTTCATTGCCCTCTTCTTTACTCTTTGAAGGTCAGTATTGATGCCGTATTGAGACAGAAAATCCAAAAGTAGTAACTGATATAGGTGTAATATTCAGTTTGGTTATGTGTTTACAATTAACAACCAGTTCTAAAATAAATATATAATCCAACCAATATCACATCAGAGGAAAAGGACCATACTATCTGACTGACTTCTGATTTACAGTGAAGGAGGAGATGAAAACCAGATAGCACGGACAGCTTGCCAACTCTGCTGCCCACACAGTGTTACTGTTCCTCTTCTCTCCCACCTGCCTGCTCCGTCTGCTTCACCTAACACATCTCTTACACACTTCCTGTTATTTGTCTGCATATAGAACAGATAATATTACACAGGAAAGTAAAAGCACCGTTTATAATCAGTAAAGTCTGACATCCAGTAAATTTACAGAATATATGAAATAGATTATTTTATTATAGTATTTTATTATATAAGTAGCGCCTATTCTCATGCAAATGTATCCCAGTGTGTCGGAAAGGCTTTCTGCTGCATATCATAATGTTTCACAACACAAACATGAGGTTACTTAAACATCCTCTAAATTATGGAGATGCTACGAAGTGGTGGTGATAATTTGACAGAATTTCCGTTTCGTTTGTCTTTCTTCTATTCTATCTAAAATCACTGGAAAAATCTGAGGTGTAGGTTGATTTCTTTGATTGCAATTCTAGTGGTAAAGCCAACCTGTTGCAGTATTTCAGCGTGACTTTGCAGTATTTAGGGTGTCCATCTTATTTAAAATACTGAACTGTACTTAATCGCCAGCTAATTTAATAATCAATTAATTGTTTAAGTAATTTGTCAAAGCAAAAATGTCTGGTTCCAACTTCTCAAATGTGAGGATTTGCTGCTTTTATTTGTTTAATGCATTTTTAAATGTATTATCTTTGGCATTTGAACTGTTAGATGGACATTTTGAACACATCATCTTGGAAAATATGACTTAACATTACAATAATAATCAGCTAGTGTTATGGGATGTGACAGGTGAAATCTCCTTGAACAATATGGAAAAAATTTGTTTAAATGACATCTGTCAATCACTGATAAAACACTGCTACAGAACTAACTCTTAATCACACAATGACACAAAAATGCTGGATTTGATTTTTTGAGAATGTCTCAATCTGTGCGGTGTGGAAGAGTAAATGATTACTGTATCATATAATAAGCAGTAAAATGACAATAATGATCATGTGTTGTCAGACACAGTAAATGAGAACCAGCAGGCCTCCTCTCTTACTGTCATCTCTTCCATTTTGCCCATAATGCAGCTTTATTGGTTCTCTCACATATTTTCTCTCCCTCTCTCACCACAACCTGGATGGCCTCTAAGCCAACGATCTTTCTCCTATCGATTATGTTTAGCTTTCATCCGGATTCAAGCTTTTTACATGAAAGCCTGTCTGTGTTTAATCAAATAAAATAGCCTCTTCACAAAATAAAAGCTAGGCTTATAAAATAAAACCTTTATTAGCTCGGGCCTTTAGCCTTTGGATGTAACTGGAGACTTTGGGCTATTCTGGACCTTGATAATCACTTTTAGCAGCGTGTCATGTTACAGGACGCGGCAGGTTTCAGGGGTGTATTTATAGTTGGAAGGGAAACATTTGTGGTCAGGAGAGAGGGATGGAGAGAGTTCACAGGCTTTGTTTCTGTCCGTCTCACTCAGCGCCCACATCCACTTTCCTTAAAGCCACGTTAGTAGAAAGTGCAGGGAGCCTTTCAGGGATCATACACACACATCCCTGCGACATCAGACATGTATGAGCACAGGCATACACAAACCGTGACACACAATGTTACCTCTGTAGTCACTGGTCCACAGGGTATATTTAGACAAGCAGACAGTCTCCTACGCTTCTACTATTCTTCACTTGTGTGGTGTGTGCTTTTCTCCATCTCTTCACTGGGACAGAAAGATGAGGCACAGCATCCAAAGTAAGAACAATACGGTTCAGTCAGTTTAGAGTTAGCATTAAGGTTACATGTATGTTTCAATATGCAGGTGCATAAAGAAAGTCATGTGTGTTATAAAGAAGTGAAACCGTGTGAATAATATTTTTAGATGCACTAAATCTCTTTAAATGAGATGTTATGAGTGCAACAGCTGGGCTTCCTACGTCAAGATTGCCTTGAACACATTTTTCACTCTTAAAAATCAGTAAATGAAAAGAAATACGTGTAACTGATTTAATAGGATATCAATGATACTGGCTTTTAGTACTGATGCTTCATTTCTCTCTATATACATTTTGGAGATATGCCTAATGATTTGGAATCTACCAGCTAACAATCGCTACTATGGACTCAACTCCATGGAAATTATTACTTTACAGCCTTCAACTATAGAAAGAGAAAGGTGAAAAATACTGGATGAAATGGGTTTGTGACATCGTGAAACAGACACATCTTTAATACTGGGTAGAGTCACTTAAATCCCAGTGTAGTTAATTATGTATGTGTATCTGTCTGTCACTCATAATAAACTTCAACCATCACATAGTTTTGACTTAAATCTTTATTTTACATTAATGTGCATTATTCCCGCAGGACCCGAACGCAGCATTAGAGAGCAAGAAACGGAAGTTCCACTGTGATCAGGAACAGAGGACCATATTGTAAACAGGAAGAGCTGGACCCACCTACTCACACAGAGGACACACACTTCCTGAAACAAGCTGCCACCCGC